CAGGCCGGTGGGTGGGAGGGGAGGGCTGCAGGGCCAGGGTGGGGCCGAGAGCGTTTCCTCTTCCTCTGTCTCTGAGTTATTTCCAAAGCTGCCGGGGCCTCCAGCTTCACGCGCTGGGCCAGCCCCTCCAGCTGCAGCCCCCGGCTGACCCCAGGGCTGGGGTCCAGGGCTGTCAATCTTCCTGTCAGTAAAGGGAGAGCCTGAGGGGAGAGACGGGGAGACCCAAGCGCGGGGCCAAGAGCAAGCTGCCCAGGCATCCGCGGGCCAACGGAAGACAGGCAGGAGCGTGGCTGTGGGCTGGGGAGGTCTCCCGGTGGCAGCGGGACCGGGCAGAGCCGACCCGAAGGCCACAGCTGCTGAGGAGCCCTGGGTGGGGCAGGTGGAGGCTGGCAAAGGTGTGGCCTGGGGCCAGGCCTGTCGGGCAATGCTGGTGGTTGAGGCAAGAATGCACCGGCTGTTGGGGGCGTGGAGTGTTCCGTGCAGTGACCCTGGGCTCAGCTCTGGCACTTGTGTCTGGGACAGAGCAGGAAAGGGGTTTACCCCCCGCACCCTGTGACCCAACCAAGGCCGTGCCCAGTTTTGTCCTTGGCTAACCACAGCCTTGCCCTGGCCAAACAGCGGTGGGGAAACTCCAGCTCAGGGCCTGACCCAGCCCATCAGGCCCAGGGTGTGTGGAGGGCGGTGTGGAGGGGGCCGGGTTCCCCTAAAGCCCTGTGCCTCCACCAGGCCCACTCGTTCCCTGAGCACCCAGCATCACCGCACCCCCCCCCCCCCCCCCCCCCCCGCCCCCCGCCCAGGGTTCCCAAGGAGGACTGCCCAGAGGAAGGGCATGCCCTGTGGGGCCTCGAAGTCAGAGCAGAAGTTTGCCAGGGAGGGCAGCAGGCAGACCTACCCGAGAGATGGAGGCACAGGGGAGGAGGGAGGCGCAGGGCGAGGGCTGGAGCCGGCCCATGGCAGCAGCAGCTGCAGGAAAAGCCGCGTGTGCAGCACAGACAGGCACAGAGGGGTCCAGTGGCTGTTCAGGTTACTCGGCTGGCAAGAGGCAGAGTGGGATTTGCAGCCGGTGCTGTGGTCCGGGCTGTGCTCCCCAGGAAGCGGGTGGGGGAGCCCTTAAGAGCAACTGGGGTTGAGGGAGAGCCCAAGGTCAGGGACCTGCTGTGTAACCTCTCAGGGAGTCCGTGACCTGCTCTGGGCTGTTTCCATATCAGTGAGAAGGGGGGCTAGGCTGGGTGCCCCGAGTGCAGGAGCTGGCGGTGGAGAGAACAGGCTCTGGGCAGCGAGAAGTGCTCCCTTCTGCCGCCCCAGGGAGGGCCCAGGACCAGCCGCTCCCCCTGGTGGGACAGGCTGGCCCCCTTGAAAGGTGCGGTTGCAACACCCTTTGAGGGTGACAGCCGCCCACATGCTGACACCTCCTGTGGGGTTTTGTGGGTTCTTTGAAGACACCGGGCCCTCAGGAAACGCCCACGTGGAGCCCTGCGGGGGCCCTGCACCTGGGTCCCGCCGAGGCTTCTGGGAGAGGGGCTCCCTGCCTGGCCCCGAGCTGGCCTCCATGGTCAGCTCAGCCTCTGGCGGGAGCTTTGTCCAGGACTCCCCAACTCCAGGGACCCAGGCCCTCCACATGCAACGACCACTTCCTGCCTCTGCCCCCGGGACGCCCACTGTCTGGGGCAGCACTTGGTTGGCACCTCACGTCTGAGGTGTGGGCTCTGGCGGAGGCAGGGCCTGAGACTCGGCTGAGGCCAGGGCTTGGCTTTGGAGCGGGAAGTGGGTGGGCAGGAGCCGGCAGGGTGCGTGAGTGCCGGCTGCGCACACCCTGGGACCAGGGCAGCGGGAGAGGCTCAGGCGCCCAGGGCGGCAGGAAGGGCCGGGGCTGGCTGTGGGTCCACCTGTGCCCTGTCAGCAGTCACTGCTGAGTGTTCCAGGGCTCAGCACACGGGCCGAGTGTGCCAGGCACCCGGGAAAGCCCTCGGGCAGAACCTCAGTGTTTGCAAGCGTCAGACACATGGGACACGAGTGGCAAGTGGGGAGATGGGCAGGATGTGCCACCCCTGCCTCTGCACCTGCCGCCGACCTTGGTGGCCATGGTCCCACCAGGAGACTGGCTGCTCCGACCTTCGTTCCCACCCCTCCCCGAACAACGAGGGGCTGAAACCTGGACTCTCCGAGGGTGGGAGCCATGCAGGCAGGGGGTCGGGTGGGGACAGGAACTGCCTGGAGCCTGGCGGAGATGGACAGGACTGAACGAGAAGCTGGATCCCAGCCTTTTACTCCCAGACCCTGGGGCCGGTGGGGACCTTGCAAGATTCTAAGCATTAATCAGGCACCTTCTGTATACCCAGTTCTATTTGGTTAGCAGGCAAAGGGACTTGTACCTGTGAGAAAAAGTCCAGGTGGCCACAGTCTGGGCATCTGTGAAATGGGTATAGGGTGAGATCCTTCCTCATCAGATCAAAGCTGTTATTGTTTTTGTCATCGTTTTTATTTTATTTTTTCACTTTTAAGAATCTACTATCCAGCCCTGGCCAGTTTGGCTCAGTGGATAGAGCGTTGGCCTGTGGACTGAAGGATCCCAGGTTGCGGGCTCAATCCCAGTGTGGGGCATTCAGAAGGCAGTCGACCAATGATTCTCTCTCATCATTGATGTTTCTTTCTTTCTCTCCCTCTCCTTTCCTCTCTAAAATCAATAAAAAGATATATCTTATCTAATAAAGAGGGAATATGCTAATCGATTGCCCCACCCTCAAAGATGGCAGCACCAACAACCACAAGATGGCCAGCAGGGGAGGGCAGTTAGGGGCGACCAGGCCTGCAGGGGAGGGCAGCTAGGGGGACCGGGCCAGCAGGGGAGGGCAGTTGGGGGCAATCAGGAAGGCAGGCAGGCGAGTGGTTGGGAGCCAGCAGTCCCGGATTGTGAGAGGGATGTCTGACTGCTGGTTTAGGACAGTGGGATCAGGCCTAAACCAGCAGTCGGACATCCCCCAAGGGGACCCAGATTGGAGAGGGTGCAGGCTGGGCTGAGGGACCCCACCCCCAGTGCATGAATTTCGTGCACCGGGCCTCTAGTACATATATAAAAAAGAATCTACCATCTAAAACGGAAAAGCTCAGCTGGAGTTAGCTGGGTTTGATGTCACCAAAGTTTGATATTTCTGTTTTCCTGATGGTATGTGTGTTCCTGGCCTGGTGGGAAGGGATTGGGCCCAGGAGCCAAGGCTGGGATGGGTTCCCAGCTCCTGCCTGCCACAGCAAGAAATCTTGGGCTCGTTGCTTCGTCTCTCTGTGCCTCAGGTTCCTCATCTGTAAAATGGGTGCAATGAGATCTCCTGCATTTTGGGACTGCTGTGCGGATGAGCGATGTCGAGCACTGGGCGCAGAGAAGGCAGCTGTGTCC